GCGGGTGGGGTCTGGGCCTGCTGGGGGGCCAGTGCGGGGTCGAGTTCTACTTTTTGTGTGTTCTGAAAGCTGTTTTGCGTTTTTGGGAGAATAAATCCATGTTTTGCTGTTTTTTGGACAATAAATCCATGTTTCGCCGTTTTTTTGGAGAATAAATCCATTGGTGGGCTGGAAATGCTCCTGGGGGGGTGCTCTGAAGGTCCCCGAAGGTCCCCGAAAAGGTCCCCGAAAGTCCCCGAAGGTCCCCGAAAAGGTCCCCGAAAAATTTGGTGCATTTTGAAGCATCTTTTTGTCGATTTTGGCCTTTTCCCCGAAGGTCCCCGAAAGTCCCCGAAAGTCCCCGAAAGTCCCCGAAGGTCCCTGAAAGTCCCTGGATTTCCCTGTCAGGTTTTGGAGTGCTTTGGGCTGATTTTGTAGATTTGGCTGTTAACTGACGACTTTTGAGCATGTCTGGCGTTTTTTTTGTTTTTTTGGTGGTTTTTGTAAATTTTTGTGTTGTTGACCAAGTATTTGGGGAAACATGGGGCTCCGCTCCTTGATTGTCGCCGCTTGCTGTGATGCTTGCAATTTTCTGCTGGTTGGCTGAATTCCAGATTGAATGCCAGGCAGCTGTGTCATGGTATGTTGAACATGTTTTGGAAGTTGCATGTGAGGGATCCATGGGCTGACATTTGACAGTAACTCATGTCCTGCATCTAACAACCCAGTGGCCAGTGAACATGCCGAGCCGAAGGAGCAACGGTGCGGATCTGAGCTCATACAAGAAGGGTGACTCCTGGGCCTTGGATGATCGTGCTCAAGCTGGCTTTCAGTCCAAGCACGACATGTCGTGCTGGGAGCAGAGCCTTCTAGCACCGCTTTGCAAGACTGGCCTGCTTCACCGTGCCCGTCAGATTCTGTCTGCAGGTATTCTTTATTACAGCGACTTTTCAGGGTATGATGCACCGCGTGAGTGTCTGCGTGTCCTGGTGAAGAGTCTTGAAAAGCTTGTGCCTCCAGAGGCAGAGCAGGGAAGCTTGTGGATGCAAGCAGTTCGAAGTTGCGATTGGGGAAAGGTGCAACAGAAGGTGTTGCGTCTGCAGTCAGCACAGTTTGATGGTGGCAAAGCATGCGTGTTCAGTGATATTGTCAATCGACTTCCTGCATGGGCAGTCGAGTGGTTGAAAGAAAGGCAGCCTGACAAAAAGACCAAGGTGGCGGCGGCCATTGAACGGAACCAAGACATTGCAGATTTTTTGAAAGAACATAGGGAAGTGTTGCTTAACTCAGAGAGCTCATCCTACTGCTCTGTGCACAAGCAGCAGTGTCCGCTGTACCCACGACTCCATCTTCCTGGGCAGGACCGGCAGCTGCAAACTTTTTGATCATGTTTGGAACCGCTGACAGAAGCCATGTAGCACCTTGTGGATCAGGACAAGCAGTGGGACTCTGCTTTATCATCGTCGTCGACAAGGTCAGTCGGAACCCCAGCCCTGGCACATGCCAAAATAAAGCATCCCAAGTCACATCAATGATTGCTGAGGTTGCTGATCAGTCGGCTCCTGCGGCATGGTGGGAGTGTACAGAGGACTGGGCTGGGTCCTTCAAGCCAATTACGATTTCAGCAGCGGGGCTTTGCTGCACTGATTACAGTCCTCTTGGGAAGCAGGCCCGGGATGCAGGGACGACCGAGATGTACCATCATATATGGCAGGTGGATCGTTTGCGTGCAGCAGAACTGGGTGCGGAGTCGGTTTTCTTTACAGAGTGTTCCTCGCTTTATCCTGCACAGACGAAGCAGGCTGCACCCATGACAGAGCAGTTTCATGTCGTGTTCATTCAAGCGAGCCCTGATCTGCTTGGATTTCCAGTTCGACGGCCTAGAATGTTCAGTGCCGGCATCAACCGCGCCGAGTACCTATGGTGCGGTCCAAGCACCCCTGAGGAAGTGCAGGCGGAGTGGAATGCAATCTTTGGTCGATTGTGTACACTGACAGGTGATGCTTTTTTCTGTGCTCCAGGTCCTGAAGTCCAAGCTTGGGCGCAAAGGACTGCAACGGCCCGAAAAACGAGCATCCCCCTGCACATGATGAATCAATCGATTGAGAGCTTGCTGCCGTTCCTGTTGCCAACAGGTGGTGTTAAGCGGAAGTTCCAGTATGACGAGTTGCAGCCGGATAGATGTGCTTTGGATGGCTCCTTCTTGTTTGACTTGGATCACAACCCTGGCTATGGCCCAGGGTGTGGGTCCTTGTTCCCCAGCATGTCAACGCACCCTCGGGTATTCTCGCACAAGCAAGGGCGGCTAGCCCTTCCCGCCGAGTATTTGTCTGCTCAAGGTGTTGATATGTATGCAGATCTGAGTGGGGACCGAGGCATCAGTCCACTGCGGGATGTTTTCAACAGCGTCACTGACACTGAGGCATGCTTTCTTGCAGGCAATTCGCTTCACGTGCCAACGTATCTGTGCTTTATGATCTATGTGCTGGGCAACCTGCGCCCACGTGCGGATTTCATTCGCATGCCTCCGCAGCTTGGCAATGGAGCTGCTAAGGCTGAGGCTGAGGCTGAGACGGATGAGACTGAGGTCGGGAGGGGTAGTGCCAGGGGTAGTAGTAGCAGTGCTCTTTCAGAGACGCCTCTGAGATCGAAGAGGTTCAAGATTGTGTGATGCACAGGGCCGCAGGCAGGTGGGTGTGTTTAAGATAGCATGAGCTTGAAGTCATGGCTGTCAATTTCGCTATGCCCGCAGCTTGTGCAATCGCGTTGTGCAGACGTTTGACTGTTGCTGCGAACGAGGGGAAACAGTAGGTTGCATTCTTGATCCCTGCTCCTTTCGAGATGCGGCTTGTTGAGAGCTGGGGCACAGGAACCTTCCTTTTCTTTGCAGGTTTTTTTTCTCCCATGCCATGCACAGTTGTGCATCCGTGCCGGTGTAGTGTGGAGAGGGGTTGAGAGGGGTGGAGACTCGGCGAGAGTCAGACATCTGAAGACACACGGGTGTCCGGGAGTGTCGCAATCATGAGCGATGTTCCTCTCAGCCCGTCTGCTTTGGACAAGCTCATGGACGTGAGCAGCGAAGCCCCTTCGACTACAGCATCGGCAGCAGCATCGCAATCCAGACCAGGAGCAGCAGGAGGACGTCGTGGACAGCGTGTCGTTGATCCCCTGTGCCTAATTCCGGGCTGCCAGGAGCTGAAGAAGAAGAACCAGAAATGGTGCAAGCATCACAGCCAGCATGTGGACAACATGAAGTATGCCGCCGCCAAGGCCAATGATGATGGGGCCCAAAAGGAGAAGATTGCCACTGCCCTCAAAGATGACCAGAAACTTGGATTGCCAATGGGAGATTTCAAACTTTGACTTTTGTTGGGGTGCGGTTATTGAAGAAATCAAGGAAGGCCATCCAGATGGTGCAGACGTGGGCTGAAAAAAACATAGCGTCCGGGCTTTTTCGGGGTGGCACCGTCAACTGGGGGGAGTGGAATGAGCGATTTGGATTGGAAACCTCCGTTACGGAGGGCTCCAGGACAACCCCATTCGAGAAGATCCAATACCTCTTGCGCCAGCAAAAGAAATTCGGCAGGACAGAAGCAGAAGCCCTCAGCTTGTGGAACCAAGCGGTTGCTTCCGATGCTAAACGAGACTATAAAGGCTTTCAGGGCCAAATTCGGCTCTGGTTGCCGAAAGAGGACTATGTCCTTAAAGAGAGCAAGAGATACGTGGACCAAGCCGCCGTCGAAGGATCAAATCGAAAAAAAAACGTGAGAGAAGCCGACAGAGATGCCATGCGTTTACACGTGGGCGAGCTGAGCACGAACTTCGGACACGAGTTCTTCGCGAACCAGTCCTCGTTGTCTGCTCCAGCTGCGGGCGCTCAGGAGGCCGAGCAAGACGAGGACGCCGTAGCAA